TCCACGGGAGCGTATTTTGCTTGGTCATTTTGCTTGGCTCCTACCCACTGTACCTCATCAACTAAGAGATTAAGTGTCATCTAAGGACAGCGAGTGTCAACCCATCCGCTACGAGAGACGCGCCTGGTAGCAGTTTCTCCTCTGCCGCAGGTGTGTGTTTGTGTGTGTTTGTGTGTGTGTGTGTGTTTTTTTTTGGGGGGGGGAATCCTTTTTACGGATTCTAGGTATAGTTGTTGGCCTGGATATGTGGCGATTCGACGCAGCGTCATACTAAAACTCGACGCTTACGCCCCTACCCACTAAACCCTAAACTCCTTTCCTCTTTCCTCTAATCCCTCGTGGAAACCGCCGTCAGGCATTACTTCGTGAGGGGCGGATCTAGCTACTGCTCTTCCTTCTGGTGGCTAAGGTGTTAGCTACCTTCCTTCTATCTTCTGCTATTTGTTCTTCTTCTTTCGGTGGAACGCAAGTCTTTGAGGTCTTCTGTTGCAAACGTGTTGGTAGCGTTCCAGGCAGCTTCTGATGACAACGTTGCTTCCACTAGTGAATCTGGTTGCGATCTCTGGTTCAGGATCCTCTCCAGCTCTTCGCTGTGGGTCGAAACGAGGACATACGAAGAAGACGTGCTCCGCATCTTCAGTAACTCCTGGGCAGGTCGGGCACTCCGAGGAGTCATCGTGCTTGAAGCGGTGTAGATACTCTCGGAAACACCCATGTCCCGACAACATCTGCGTTAGATAGTAATTGACCTCACCGTGATTCCGGTTAAGCCCAATGTCGATCTTCGGTATGAGACGGTGTGTCCATCTTCCTGTTGTCGTGGCGTCCCACTGCGATTGCCATCGTGCAATGCTGTTTTGCCGTTCTTCAGCTTTGAGTTCCTCGGCACTTAGTGTGGTTTACCTCTTTCGTTGGTAAAGGTTCCGTTTTTCCTCAGCTAGAACTCTGAGCGGTAGAGTTCCGGAAATGACACACACTGCTTTTTCTGATATCGTGCGGAATGCACTGGCTAGTCTTACAGCGCTCAGTTGATATACTGGTCCAGCTTTTCTCCATGATTTTTGCAACTTCAGCGCGTCTGCCCAAATGGATATTCCATATGTGAGCACCGATGTGACAACTGATGATAGTAGTAGTCTCCTGCTCTGCTTTGGGCCTCCGACGTTTGGCATCAGCCGTGCTAAGCTAGCTACCACTGCTGATGCTTTTGCACTCCCGTGTTCCACTTGCTGTTTAAAGTTGAGACGGGCATCAAGCATCACTCCCAAATATCGGATATAAGGTTTTGATGTGATTTCTTGTTCGCCGACTTTAAGCTTGATGGTCTTTAACGCTTTTCTGCTGGTAATAAGCACTGCCTCAGTCTTATGTTTCGTCAGTTGAAGATTCATTGTGTCCATCTACTGGTTAACTTGCTGGAATGCTAGATCAAACCTGTGGTGAATCTCGTCCAGGTGTTTACCGACAATCAGTACGGCCAGGTCGTCCGCATACGCTACAAGTTTAACATTCCTCTGGATCTTTAGCCTTAGGAGCCCGTCATCCATGATATTCCACAGCAGTGGGCCAAGAATAGAGCCCTGCGGAACACCTCCGGTGATTTCGTACTCTTTCGGACCGTCCTTTGTGTCGTATCTCAGGACTCTATCCGTGAAGTAGCTAGCTACTATTTCCGTAGGTATCCTGGCACGTTCTTCTCTTGGAGAGCTTGCATAATGCAGTCCCAGTTAGCGGAGTTGAAGGCGTTTTTGATGTCTAACGTCGCCACCATGCAGTACTTCTTCGTACCACCCTTCCTTCTGGTTCCTGCAATTGCCTCCTGGGCCATATTAACAACCGGATTGATCGCGTCCAGGGTTGATCGTCTTTTTCGGAATCCATACTGGTTGTTTGCCAGGAGTGGATCCACGACTGCTTCTATTCTTTGATGAATTATGCGTCCGAATATTTTACCGGCTGTATCCAGCATACAAAGTGGACGGTAAGATGACGGTTCTTCTGGTGGCTTCTTTCCTTTAGGGAGTAGAACTAGTCGTTGTTGTTTCCATTTCCGAGGAAATGTCCCTTCCTTGAGGCACGTATTGTAAACTTTCAAGAATAACGTTGGTGCTGCCTTTATGGCTGTTTTCAAGGCAATATTAGGGATTCCGTCTAGTCCCGGCGCTTTGTTATTCCCGACGCGGTTACAAGCCTCCATTAGTTCTTCTTCCGTGACAGATGGAATGTCTTCAGGGTTTAGCTGCCTTAGCTGGCCGGTGAATACCGGTTGTTGAGGAAACAGCACAGTAACAATCCTCTCTAGGAGCCGCGGACACGTAGGCGACGGCATTGGCTGGTATTTCAGGTGGGCCGTGACCACCTTGTACGGTTTGCCCCATGGGTCCTTGTGTGTGTGTGTGTGTGTGTGAAAGTATGTGAACCACTTATAACTTTTAAACGGCTTGATCGATTTAATCGCGGTTGGCGCCATTCAAAAGGGCATGACAAAACTTAGATTTCCTGAAAATTTGAACCGATTCGGACCAGTAGATTTTGAGAAATTTCAAAAAAACTACAAAAAAAAATTTTTTGAAAAGTGGTTTTTTTGGAATAACTTTTAAACGGCTGTACCGATCAATTCCAAAAACTAATCAGCTCTCAACCTCAAAAAACCACGTCGATCGCCACCAATCCGGTCAAAATCGGTTGATTCGTTCGAGAGATATCGTGAACGAAAGAAAACCGAAAAAAATGATTTTTCGAGATTACTCCGAAATTTTCCGTTCGATCAATTAAAATTTGATAATAACTTATGAGGATGATAAAACTGCGTCGATTGCTGCCAACAGCGTGAAAATCGGTTGATATATTCAAAAGTTATCGCGGTTTGAAAATTCCAAAAATAGTGTTCTATGAAACTTCTATCAGACTTCTGAGCTGGAAAAGCTCAAATGTATCAAAATATTATCTCTTCAAACTCAGTGAGGTCAAAATATCACACAAATTATATTTTGAGCTCTAAAATCTCAAAAATGTCATAAATACAATTTTAAGCGCCCAGTAATAGAATTAGCATGCAAATAAAGTGCACGAAACGTTGCTAAATAATAAAGTTTCTTATTGTTTTATTATGATCCTACATCCTCTCAATTCTGATTAAACATTTCGAAAACTATTTTGACCGATTCAGATCAATAGATTTTAAGAAATCTCCAAAAAACTAAATAAAAAAATTTTTTCAAATGTGTTTTTTTTTTGGAATAACTTTTAAATGGATTGATAGTTCAACTCCAAAAACTATTCAGCTTTTAACTTCAAAAAACTACGTCGATTAACACCAGTCCGGTCAAAATCAGTTAATTCATTCAAAAGATATCGTGAACGAAAGAAAACCGAAAAAAATGTTTTTTCGGAATAAATCCGAAATTCCTCGTGCAATCAATTCAAAATTTGAGATTCTTTGTAAGGCTCGAATAGCTGTATCAGATGCTGCTAACCACGTGGATATCGATTAATTCATTCAAAAATTATTGCGATTTAGAAATTCAAAAAATAGTGTCTTATCAAATCTCTATCAGACTTTTGAGCTCAAATAGCTCAAAACCATAAGAAATCAATCTCTTTGAGCTCGAAGAGCTCAAAAACGTCATTAGTGCAATTTTAAGCGCTTAATTTAAGTATGGATAACTTTTGAACGGCTCATCCAATTTTGTCGCGGTTAGTGCCATTTGACAGTCATTTCGGCTTGGCCAAACTTAAATTTCAAGTATAGTTTGAACCGATTCGAATCAGTAGATTTTGAGAAATCTTAAAAAAATTAAGAAAAAAAATTTTTTCAAATGTGGTTTTTTTTGGAGAGCTTTCAAACGGCTTTAACAATTGATTCTAAAAAAAATCAGCTCTAGACAATATAAAACCACGTCAATCGCCGACAAATCAATTAAAATCGGTTGATTCGTTTGACAGATATCGTGAACTAAAAATTTCCAAAAAATCATTTTTTTAATATAACTCCGACATTTCTTTTCGGATCATTTTTGATGAAATAGAATAATTATTAAAACTCAAAAATCCGCATCGATCGCTACCAAAAACGTGAAAATCGATTGATTGGTTTGAAAGATATTATTGACGAAATGTTTGGGAACAAGTGTTTTTCTAACACAGTTCCGACATTTCATTTCGAATCGTTTTTGATGAAATAGTATAATTATTAAAGCTCTAAAAACTACGTCGATTGCCGCCAACGCCGTGAAAATCAGTTGATCCATTCAAAAGTTATATAATAGCTGTTTGAAAATTTTAAAAATAGTGTTATATCAAACCTTCATCAGACTTTTGGACTCGAAGAACTCAAAAGCATAGAACAGCTAGTGTTTGGGTTCGGAGAGCTCAAAAATAAAAAAAAACATATTTTTGAGCTCAAAGAGCTCAAAAACATTGTAATATGTTGAATTAAGCGCTTAGGTACAGAATTGGCGGGAAGTTGCAGGGATGGCCCTTAGGGTCAACCGTTTTCCACATTTTTTTATCTGATTACGTGAATCAAGCTCTCCTTAAAATACAAAAAGATAAGAGTTCACGATCAAAACCACCAAATGTTTTATCAGGTGATGATCTTGATATGCTTATCGAAGTGAGAGATGTTTTGCATCCTTTATGGTTTGCTACTTATGAAGCTAGTGCAGACAAACACGTGACTTTAAGCAAATGTAGTCCACTGGTAAAAGGACTTCAAGAGATGTGTAAATTTTTTACTTCTACCATTGATCATTTTACGTGATAGTTAGATTACTGAAAAATCTGAACTTATCTAAATACTCTTATTTTTCTTCATAAAAACATTTAAAGTGACATAATGCGATTTCAGGAAGTAATTACTATCATGAGAGAATAATAAACTCTGATTTTTAATTTTTTTTTATAATTTTTTTTATTTTTTTTTCAGAACACAAATCGGCTTAATCCTATTACAACAGTTGGTCAAGATTTGAAAAAAAGGTTGATGGCTGAAATAAAGCAAATATTTTCGAACATAGAGTCTGTGAAAGTATATCATATTGCAACGCTTCTTGACCCCCGATACAAAAAAGTTGGGTTTCAGAGTATTCTTAATTGTTCGCGTGCTATAACATCTGTGAGTAGGTGGTCAACACTAAGAATTCTTTATACTACAAAGAAAAATTCTTTTTTTTTTTATTAGGAATTTTGCCGCATTGCAACCAAATCCAACACTTTTGGAAATTTTTTGAAATTATATTGCATTTAATATTAATATATTATCGGAATTTTATACGCATAGGTTCACTGATAAGAGAGCAGGTGAAAGTGTCGCAAAATTTAGCTGTTGAGTGTGATTGTCAACTAGCTATCGACGACCAGCAAACGTCTGACAAGAAAAAAAATTTTTGGGATTTTTTGGACCTAGAAGCACAGTCAAGTAATCACTATCAAGATAATGATGAAGCTGGAGGAGTATCTATTGAATTACGGCAATTTCTTAATCGACCACTAGTGGATAGAAATAGTACACAGGATCCATTGCTTGTTTGGAAAAGTATCGAGAATGAGTATCCACAGGTATCCACTATTGCGAAGAGGTACTTATCAATTGTTGCGAGTTCAACTCCTTGCGAACGTTTATTTTCGCATACCGGTCTAATTGCGAATCAAATTCGTAGCCGATTAACGCCTGAGCACTTGAATATGCTTCTGTTCTTAAAATCTGTCCCAGAAAGTCTATGGTTTTCTTAAAATAACAAGAAGTCTATCGTTTTATTTATTTTAAATTTATTTAAAACTTAATTTATAAAGTTTGTTATAACTTTAATTATTTTAAAAATAATTTTAATGTGATTTGTTTGACACGTTATTAATAAATAAAAAAATATACTTGTTCTTAATTATCTTTGTCTTTTATTTGATAAATTTGTATTGCCCATTCATGGCATTGCGATTAGATGAATAAATTTATTTAACTATAAAAATTATTAATCTTTTAATTTAGAATCGATTCAAATCGAAAGAATCGATTATTGCGCTCGATTAATCGATTCTTAAAATCGAAAAATAAAAAATCGGAATCGAGAATCGATTCTTTGAAAAATCTTTCCATCCCTAGTGTGCGATTGTACGTGTTCTCTACTTGATGATGAATTGCCGAGTAGAGCAATTCGTACAGTCCTAAAAGCCGTTGTATAGACGCCAAGTGGGGTACAGCGGCAGTAAGCTAGAAACTCCAGTATAGTCGCTCCTTATGAGTGTACTGGGGGATTAGGAACCTTATCTTGACGACCCCTACTTGTTGATGAATTGCCGAGTAGGGTAATCTGGACTTGGTGCGACATTTTCTGCTTGTTGATGAATTGCCGAGCAGAGGATTAGCATCGAGTGGAGTCGCCGGTTTTAGCCCGAAATCCTCCAGTAGTTATAAGTCGTAGTATTAATTGGAGTTGCCGGTTTTATCCCGAAATCCTCCAGTAGTTGTAAGTGAGATAGTTGTAAGCGAGTTGGGAGTACGTGCAAGTGCACGAGTTGTTATTTTATTTTGTTGTTGTTAAATAAAATCCGGATATTGTTTAAATAAAGATTTAAATATTTCCAGTACACCTTTCTCTCTCGCTCTCCCTGTAGAATAAGAAACTCAGCTCTGGCATCCGGTTCCAGAAACCGAGAAAATAATCCTGGTGGCGCCTTGAAGCATCTTAGAGTCATTCGTTGAATATATTGTTAATTAATTAAATTTAATCAGGGCCAATCGTACGGGAAATAAACCACCCGTTACAGGATTATAATATTATCGAAAAATATTCCCTTAAATATATTTACAAACATATATCTACTTATTGGATAAATCTTATTGTAACCTAAACTAAATAAAATAAATAATGCAGTATCAAAATTAATAATATGATAAATTTTACAATAGAAATGAATAAACGTATTAATACCTGAAGAAAATTGACGTATCGTTTTTCTGCTTGCTAAAGCCGTCTCGATTATTTCAGGGCAAAGACGTTTATTGGGTAGAACAATAGAAGTGTCAGGTGGTTGGATGAGTTTGCTTTTAAAATTCTCGAATTCTTGGTCATTCAAAGTTTTCTCCAAAGCTATAAATTTTATTCATGCATATTATATATCTATAATTTATAATTATTTGTTAAATTGACTACACTCACACATTGTTTGAAAAGTTCGAGGTTGCTTTCTTATTGGCTCTATATCATCATCAGTGAATGGAATAGTCCGTGAATTAAGGATCAACGGTACTGCATCTTTAGTTTTTTACCTTTTAACTTTTCTAGTGCAATGCTCTGGTTTAAAGTGACAGCTGCAAACTCGCCGATTTGATAACTTTTTCTCAAACATTGCAATGCATACATGCTTTTGTCCCAATAACTTTATCCACTCCGTACATCTGAAAAATAATATTATAGATATTATTTACCAAATAGTATAGTATAAAATTATTTCAATATATATTATAACCCTATAGCAAGATATTGATAAGACAAAAGTGAATATTTTGTATTAAAAATATCATACAGTCGTTAAGGGTATTTTATTTTACAACGGAATATAAAATTTTACGATATGAGTTTAATTAATTTAATATCAATTACTTACTGCTTTTCATCCGAAATTGGAAATCTAAAGAAAGAACACTCTGCTGATCCCTGCTGGTGATCACAAAACTGTGCTACACACTTTTCTTTGTTGACCATTTTTCAATTATTTTCAGTCTTTTAACAGCTTAGTGTGTCAATGACACCAACAATATTTCCATATTATTAACTTCTACTTTGGTAGCATTGAAAAACCTCTCACCAAATCCTCCATCTGAGTGGGACCCCGCTGATTAAGATCCAAGAATGTACACAAATTGAATTTTTAACGGTGTTTCGAGGGTGTTGTACTGTTTCATTCTCAAATGATCTACGACGTGGACACCTCTGTTTCCACCTTTACCTTTATTTAGTAAAAATTTGCCATCATGTTGGCACTTAAACTTCTTCGATGTGCAGACTTCATTTCATTGCATGATCGCTTGTACTTACAATAAGGACACCTCCTCGGGGTGACGGTGGGCAACAGAACCATCTGACAGAGTTCCTGGGTTAACGGCGTATGTGCCGACATGACAGGTACAAGTGATGAGTACTTTACGACGCAGGGATTCGGAAACCCAGTCTCGGCATCTGGTCAGGTTGACATAAGTGAAATGGAGACTAGGTATCAAGGAAATTGAAATATCAGCATGATGGCAGACTATTGCTGGACACTCAAAAGAGATATACCACAAGAAAATAACAAACAGAAGAGAAATACACTCCGTAGATCATTTGAAAATAAAAGAGTTCGATACCACCGGAAAACAGTTTAAAAGTTGAGAAAATCATTTTTCCAATTCTGTTTATACATCATTTTCATAGATTTTACAATTTTTTTCCTTTTTTAGATGTTAATCTTAAATTTTTTTAATGAAAAAAGCAAGAAATTTATTTAATTTTGTTTAGAAGATTTTTTTCCATTTTTGGAGCAGCAATTTTCTGCTATTTAATCGATTTTTTGCAATTTTGTGAATGTTTGAGGAGACTATAGGCCAAATTTACGGCAGAATAAGATTAAGCAGATTAAATTACATGAAAATCTTCATCAATCTGGGTCCCCAAAAATTTTTATACCAAGATAATCCCAATTTTCTATAAATTTATCATAAGTGGAGGCACCCCAGGTTACCTCAAAAAGGGTTGGAGCGAAGACAGATGGAGCAGAATAGCTAGGTTCAGGTTGGGAGACATAATGAAAGGGGGCAGATACTGGGAGAGTAGGGAAGAAAGGCTATGTAATGTATGTAGGAGGGAGTTGGAGACTTGGGATCATGTTTGGGAGATATGTTCAGGCCTAGGTTGGGAAAAGGGGTGGCAGGAGATGAGGAATCAGGTGTAGGGGGAGGAAGGACAAGGGGGAAATTGGCTTATAGGGATCGAAATGTTATGGAGGTTCGCTGCCACCAATAATTAGGACGGTTAGGAAGTAGTGGAGACACAGCGGAAACGGAGGTCCGGAAGGATGGGTGAGATGGATGGAGGTTTGAGTGGAGGAGACGCTGGGCGGTTTTTTCTTTGCCTTACGTGGCCTTCTTTTTTTCCGCCGTCTCGCTGGTTTTGTAGTGTGCTGTGTGAAGGATGTATGTAAGGAATAATGTAATAGGTTAAGTTAGGTAATTTAATTATAAGTAGTAGTTAAGTGTTCTTTGTAAGCGGAACGGAGGTCCGCATTTGTACCCCTGAAAAGGGCAAATAAATATTTATTATTATTATTATAATCCCAATTTTCTTCGATTTTTGCAATTTTTGATGATTTTTTTACAATTTTTTTAGATTTGAAACGGTTTATGTTTAAAGTACGATCAAAATTAGTATTTAACAGATCAAAATACATGAAAATTATGCTTGTCTTAGATCTCAAAATTTTTTTTCTTGCCAAAATATCGAATTTTTGCTATTTTTTTGGGGTTTTCTGCGATTTACTCGAAATTGAAGGCTGGACGGCCTAAACTGACTTGAAATTCGTGTTCAGCGGGTCAAAAAACATGCTCGTAGATAGGTGGTGCCCGGTGTACAGACAACTTTTTTTTTTGTGTGATTATTATTTAAGATACTTTAGTTCATATAAGAAGATTTATTTAACATTATTACATTCATAGCAATCCTTCTTCAATGGATAAGGACCGTCAAGAACATCATTATACATAGTCTTGTAATGCTCTGTACATCTTGTGTAATTGATAAATTTTGAGTCTATCTTCATGTGATGAGGTAGCTTTGACCATATAGCATCAATTTCGTGTTTTGGGAAGTATGAAAGATTCATCCAAACAGGCAATATCTTGTTGATCCGTCTTGACTAAAGACTGGAGCTGATAAAAAAGCTGTAATGACTTTTCCAGCGATGGACTTAGGCCCCAACAGCTGAGAAACCAGCGTTTCATTCTCTGAACTGTTTCGTAGGCACAAGCTTAATTGCTTTTCCTTGAGTGATTTTTCTTCAGGAGATACGGTTGAATAGGATCAAAGTCTTCAAGATGGTTAATAAATCTCATCTTTGATAAATCAATTATTCCTTACGAATAATTGAGGGTTTTTTCGAGCCAATGTTTTTTTCCTCACCCAAAACATAAACGTATGTTTTGTGCTTGAGAGTTTCTCGAAGCACTTCTTTGAGTTCGTTATAGAAGAATGATCCTTCATCCCATCTGATGCCATGGCTTCTCAACAAAAAGTCTTTGCTCTCCAAGACCATAAATTTGTTGGTGTATTCTGTTGGTGGCTCGAAAGTTGCTAGCGCAGCAGAACTCAAAAAATCCACTTCATTACTAAGCGATATAATAGCAAGCTCTTTGACAATAAAAAATCCATCAAGTGTGTAAAAGCCTTCAAAACCAATAAAAATCTCCATCTTCTCGACTTAAGTGCACAAGATTACAATCCTAAACATAATAACGGTGTCGTGATCATGAACCGATTTTATATCGTTAATCCCCACCATAAAAGATGAAAAAGTAAGGGTAAATTGCGCATAATGGGTTGCATCAGAAAAAAAATGCGTCAGAAAATGACATCATTAACAAGTTAGGGCTTGTTAACAGAAAACAGCTGATGAAATCGCAGGCTAAAAAGGGTGATGTGATTGCGGGACAAAATGGCTGGCGAAAACGTGGGACAGAAGGGTTGTAGATGTTGTCAAAATGG